GCAACAATCTTTACAGTTTCATGCTTCCAAAACACAGTACTGTGCCTTCTGCCAAAGAGACGTTCATTTCGGCTGATGCGAAACGGCTAGGCTGTTTCTGTTTAGGACTAAGAAGTACTAGTCTCCGCATGACCTTTTCACTCTACACAAGGCCCCTACCTTTCGTAACCAGAAGCGTAGGCTCATTTATCAACTCTGTCTAGGCGAATTCGTATAGGTTAGGAGCCAACCCTATAAGTTTACATTGAAATGTTTATCGCCAAAATTAGGTAGTTTAAGTGCATACCTTTCAGTAGATTTGCCTACCAGTGCCCACCAAAGTGACAAACCAATATACTGGTTTGCGTTCTTTTTTCTGGAAAGGATATTCAATTAGCCAATCGGAGTGGGTATACTAACGTACAGAAGGACTATTTGTGTTGCTTGTAAGCAAGAATAAAGTAAATAAGAAAAAGAAATGAAACGAAATGTTTATTAACGGTACATCGTAATTTTGAAAGGTGGAAAATACGAAAAATTATCTTCACCAAGCTTGCTTAAGCTCAACTCACTTTTTCTAAATACATGTGATCTAAGCAGATTCTTAGCGAAAACCATGTACCTAATTGGGCATGGTATGGAAATTGCTACTTTTATATTATGCAGCAGATCGGTGCAAGATCAAATCAGTGCATCACATCACTGGAGCTGATTTATTTAATAATCAGTTATATCATTGTTAAGTGTGTAGCTTAGAAGTAGGGATTTAAAAAATAATAGATTTTCAGCAATTTTTTCATTTAAATCGATATTTGTAAACAGCGTACAACAGATACAAAAACTCGAAGTAAGCTCCTAGTTCACTGACATGAACAAGTCGATAAAAGACGACGTCATCTGCGTGTAAGCGATTTAAAATAATTTTTATAGCTTGTCTTGTGTGCATTCTTCTTAATACTACAATTTCACCTCCTTTCTGTTGACCGGTTAATCTGAAATTTGGTATATATCTGTAGTTCTGATGACAAAAAAATCATTCATATTCAGCATCATTGTAAATCCGAAATTTCCACCGCCACAAAATGAAGGTGATTTTTAAGCAACTCTTCCAATGTGGTCTTAACTAGGTGAATGCAGTATGAAGTGCACTATGAAAAATCCAAGATAGCATCCACTACCAAAAAATATAGTAGGGTTTTTTGGGTTCTTTTGGGTGTGGATTAAAACACTGGATTCCACAAAAAGAAATACACCAATTTATTTTACTCGACTAGATAGAACATTTATGTACACCACTATTTATGTCTAACTAATTCTTATGTCGCTCCACTGACTGGACACTCCACTCTGCTCTACTCTGGTGTAATCTGTACTCTGCTTCCATCTTCCGGCCGCCGAGTTATATATAGTCCCCATTGCTGCTTCGAGAAACATCTGGTGAATATTGGAGATCCCTTCGGGTCGATCTAGAAGGCCATCCACTGTCACGGTCTTCACAGACGCCGCCAAGCGGCTTGAGCGGTCGTGGTTCGCGTAAAAGCAGAGATCGGTCATGAAGCTCTGGCGAGTAGGAGACTCGCCCAACAGATGGCGCCAACAGTACTCTTCGTCACAATATATTACATATTTTTTCATCCCCTTAGTATGGTTATCAATTATAACATAGTACACTTTTGCAAACAATATCTAATTTTAAGTGCAACGGCTTTATAATAAAGAACAATGTAACTGCACTTTCCTCGTAAATCAAAGGACTTTTTTGTTCTGAAACCAGAGGGTTGTCGTTGTGGTCTTTTGAATACCTACTTATCATCTTATCTGATTTTCATTCTGATAAATTGTTGATGTTGATCTCTTAATTTCATTATCACTATATGTGTAGTATGTTGACTAGTAGAAAAATTCGATATTTTACAAATCGATTGATATTGAAAAAGAAAAAATCGCCGGCAAAAACGGTCAAAAATGGCCTAGTAAGCAGGCTATGCCTTCTCACCACTATAACTACTATTAGCTTTATATCACTGCTACAGATTTATTTTATTTAAAATCCATAGTTTTTTTTTCACGTACTTCCGCAACAGAATTTCATGGCACAAAATGAGAAAACGTAAAGTTACTGTTTAAAAGCGAATGTTAATGCATTTCTCAACGTTAAAGTTTTGTTTTTCCTATTCAGTACCCATAAAAAATTATGTTAGCAAACCTTATACTAGGACTGGACACCCACAGAAGCCAATAATATATAAATTACCTCAAAATTTATCGATAAAAAGATACTTTTACTCAGCTTAAGTTTCTTGCAATGAACAAAAAACACCATTTTCTTCAATTATCTTAAACTCTAGGATTGTATGGAAACACACGCGCTTTTAAGTTTTCGGAGAAAAATACGAATTTAATGTGACTGGCGGATCAAGCCTGATGAACTTGTATGCAGTTCCATCCAACTAGTCTAATGATATTAGTATTAGACGAAAATACCCCTGGTTTGCGAAATAATTATAAAGTCTGGTTTTATCGATGCAAGTTGATCAAGGAAGTATTGAAAACATGAACGCATAAAATGGGTACACCAATTTTTGTGGGAAAACTTTTTATTCGACAACAAAGAATCAGAAAACATGTTTTTTGGGATTCAATCGGAAGTGTTGGAGGGACGAAAAAACTCTTCATATAAGATTTTCAGTTATTCATGAAACCTGCAGAATGAGAGTATGTACTCAGAAAAAGATTCGACTAATAGCAAAAAGTTATGGCCGAAAACCGAGGCAAACTGCAGGTTTTGGCACTTGTTGGTAAAGCGACGATGGTTTCTCGCAGATATTTGAAATTTTCCAAGTTCCTAGGATTCGTACTTCTAAATAACCACAATAAAATTGGAGTAGATTGGTCAAGTAGTTTTTGAGAATATCCAATTGTTTATCCCAAAATGTCTGTTTTCCGGCCATCACTACTAGTTTATTGAGCAATATACAAGGTTAGTTCAAAGGGAATTTTATAGCAAAATACATTAGTTTACCTTGCCGATACGAATCGCAAATCATTCCGGAATGCAAATGTTATTTTTATGCAAAAAAGGATGGGCTACCTTTTTACTTCTACACAAATTCAAACATTTCGTATTTGTGAGTAATTCGCAGCAAAAGATGATAGATACATCCGCTTTCTTTTAAAATGTGTACAGTAACGTATGTTTTTCGAATATCGTAGCGCATTTGTTCAATTACTCACAAATACGAAATGTTTGAGTAATGTTTAGAAGAAAAAAACGTAACATTTGTTTTTCGCATAAAAATAACATTTATCTCTCGGAATGGTGTGTGATTCAGATCGGCAAGAGAAACACGTGAATTTGCTATCAAATGATCTTTGAATGAACCCTGTATATTGCTCAATAAACTAGCCGGAAAACAGGTGTTTTGGGATAAACAATTAGAGATTTTCGAAAAACTTCTTCACCAATATATTCCAATTTTGTTGTTGTTATTTAGAAATATGAATCCTACGGATTTGAAGAATTTCAAGGAGCGGCGTGAAATTATCGTCGCATTACCAACAAGTGCCTGATTTCGTTGGCTCTGACCCTATATACACAATAATGACATTAAAACACCTGAAATGATTTACCAAATCAAACAAAGATTCAGATTCCAGGCGACAGAATCCAAATCCCTTTAATTTACCATGTGTTAATTTTAATTCAGAAGATAAAGTTTCATTTAGGGATCACGAAGGACGTAGCTTCAGTCTGTACGGCGCGTTGTGCGGGTCGCTGGATCAACTTTATCTTAATTTAGCAAGCGAAAGCAACCCTTCGAAGAAATGAATACGTATGTGGAAATGGTCTAATCGTTTGCCCTGCAAAACTGCGCCGCACGTACTAATTATCTCACAAACTGAACGCAAATAATTTGTGCGCACGTATAGTAGATGGAAAATTCACAAAAGTCAGTGACCTGATGGGCTCATTTGTTACCCAGTTCATATTTCCATGTTCCATATTCGTCAAGCACTATTTATGTATATTGATAAAACTGTCAAGTAGCTGTAAACGCCGTCGAAGTAGCTATTATAACCCGTCGGCCACAATCCGCCCCTATATCTACCTATCTAAACTTATGTTAGTTCCATACTTTCACAAGTATAACCCCCTATGAGCAAAAGTTTTTGAATTTTTCCTCCAATGGTATGACTTTAAACTTGAAAGTTTCATAGCGCAAAATTTCCATTTTTGTCACGTTTCTTACAAGTGAACAGAAATATGAACACGGTAATTTGGACGCGAATTTCAAGTATGGACATCATGGGGAAAATAGGCTATTTGGGGCCTCCCCATTCGTTATCTAGTACGCACCTGATTTACCCGGAAAGCTCGAAAAACTGATCAGTTACATCATTGAACCTATATCCCGCATCTAAACTTTCTCCGACTGTCCAGTAGTACGTGCTTTTGAACTTTGAAGTTTCACAATACAGACACGCCAGCAGCCTGCTGGATCTCTTTCTCACCACGCATCATGTCCCTTACAACACTGCTATCCTGTCTTCCCTGGGTAACTCAGACCACGGTTTTGTGGAAGTTAGGTTTTGGTCAAAACCCGCTGTGACAGCGGAACCTCGCCCATGCCGCAAAATTTGGCATTACGGATATGCCGAATGAGAGGGGCTCTGAGACTTCTTCTTCACTTTCCCTTGGAGGGACGTTTGTTTCGCTGACGCGGATGCGTCGGCTGTGTGTCCATCGATAACCGGAATTATTCACGTTGGGATGGAGGAGTACATCCCTCATACAGTGAATGTGCCTAGGCCAGGGTCCAATGGCTGGTTCATCAAATCGTGCGACAATGCTCGTCATCAGAAGATCAAGGCACACAGAACCTTCATTCAAAACCTCACGGGTTATCCTCTTCATTCAAAAACGTCAACACGGGTGTTCCCCAGGGATCGTTCTTGGCTCCGACACAGATCCCCTTGCATATCAACGATCTCCTTCCCTCTACGATAAACCCAATCCACAGCTTTGCTGATGACAGCACTCTACATGTAGGAATTCAGATCGACAAGTTGTTCTATACCGGTCTGCTGGGGAAAAGCTAGGCTATTTGGTTAGGACTAAGAAATACTTTTCGCAGCATGACCTCCTCACTCTATACAAGGCCCAGATAAGACCTAGCCTAGAGCCACTGCTCACACGCTTGGAGTGCCACCGCCCCGACTACATCATTTATGCTCGATGCTGTCCAGAGGAGGGCTGTCCGACTGATCGATGACTCTTCTCTAACAGACGGTCTCAAGACTCTTTCGCACCGGCGGGCCGACGGTGATCTAGCTCTCTTCTGCCGCTACACCTTCTGTCTTTCCACCTCAGCGCTCTCCTCCATTTTGGCACTGCGCGATGTGCCTGCCAGACAGACCCGCCTGACTTCGGCCTCCCATCCTAACCGGGTCAAGCTTCGTACATACAGAACTGTGGAACAATCTACAACCTTAGGCAGATCAAAAATGGAATTAACAAAATTTCTTTGAGATCCTCATAGCAGCTGCGGTATCCTGGCATTTAGGCTTCTGCTTCGGTGTAAAAAAACACAAAATTTTCATTCCGAATGTGACCAAACATTAGAAAATAGGGCTTTTGAACAAGGGCGGACTTTATTGGGGTAATTACAGACGCCGATTTTGAATATAGGAACATCAAGAAATCAAATGAATCATAGATGCAGCCAATCTACCCCAAGAAACAATAAGCTTTCCCCGTATAGTAGATTCCCGCAGCAAATGGCATATTTACGATAGTGGCGTATGTACAAACACTGGAGTATTTTTATCGTCGATTTAATCTAGCGGTGGTAATCAGTGCGTCCAGGGCAATCCATTAAAGAAAATAGTTCACCACATCGTGCAAGAAGCAACCTAGTTCTTTTTTGTTTTCGGAATTGCGGATATCACGCGAACAGTAAGCTACTAGTGACCACACAACATACACAAATGGTTTCCTCCGTATCAGATTAGTTTCAGAATCGGGCTAGCGTGAGAAATCAACAAAAACGATAAAAATTCAAATACATGCGAAGTGATCTCATTTCAAAAATAGGAAACCCCGTAAGCTTAACACAAACTGGCTGTCAACTGTTGAGAATAAATCGATATACAGTAAAAGATCTTTAATTTCTTCTCAAGGTCAAAAGAATATGAAACAATCTTTTCTTTGAAAACAAGCAGCCATGGAGGCTACGTCACTGAAGTTAGCTTCAGATTCAGATTCGAATATGATGAAACTTTTACACAAATTATTCTAGATAATATCCCAAAGTTCGAGATTACCAGTGGTAGAGTGAACGGGAAAACGAGAACAGGCCCCAGTGTGCCATCTTAATAGGGAAAAATACCAAAAATGATTTCTTAGGGTTTGTGTCGGGATTACATATAAAGCTAAAAAAATCTCAGAACCCAAACAGACTCATATATGTTGTAGAGACCTCAAAGGAGTATATCTTTATGGCATAGCTTTGTGAAATATCAGGGGACTACAGGGTGATTCTGCGCGTACTAGGCTTCACTGCTTAAAACAGAAAAACATCGCAGAACCCAAACGAGGAATTGTGCCACCAACAGACTCATATATGTTATAGATACCTCAAAGGAGTACATCTTTATATCATAGCTTTGCGAAAAATCAGGGGACTACAGGGTGATTCTGCGCATGCAATGGTTAACCCCTTGAAACAGAAAAAAATCGCAGAACCCAAACGAAGAACTGTGCCATCAACAAACTCATATATGTTGTAGAGACCTCATGGGAGTACATCTTTATGGCATAGCTTGGCCAAAAATCAGGGGACTTCAGGGTGAATCTGAGCATACAAAGGTTGATTCCTCAAAACAGAAAAAAAACGCAGAACCCAAACGAAGAATTGTCCTATCAACAGACTCATACATTTTGTCGACACCTCACAGCAGTACATCTTAATGGCATAGCTTTGCCAGAAATCAGGGGACTACAGGATGAATCTGGACATACAAAGGTTGATTCCTCAAAACATAAAAAAATCTCAGAACCCAAACGAAGAATTGTGCCACCAACAGACTCATATATGTTGTAGGGACCTCATAGGAGCACATCTTTATGGCATGGCTTTGCGAAAAATCAGGGGACTACAGGGTGAATCTGGGCATACAAGGGTTGATTCCTCAACACAGAAAAATATCGCGTAACCCAAACGAAGACTTGTGCCACCGACAAACTCGTACATGTTGTAGAAACCCTATAGGAGTACAGCTGTATGGTCTAGCTTTGCGAAAATCGGGGGACTACAGGGTGATTCTGCGCGTACAAGGCAACACTTCTTAAAACAGAAAAAAAAACATTCGCTTGGAATCTGCCGGCCGGCACGTGTTGGATAATGTGGAGGTTATTAGGAAAAAAGGGATTTTTCAATAGTTGATAGTTTTTCAAGATCTTCCAAATTAATCAGTATTTAAAAGAATTTTTTTAAATAAAAAAACATAGCTATGATATATTTTTTTTTTTCGTAAAATGAATGCATTTGGCCACCCATATCCTTATTATTATCTATTGTTACTCTAATGTAGTAATCTATAAGTGCATAATAAGAATGGGTATTCCATATTCACCGAACTTCTTCTATACAGGGGACTTCGAAGTTGAGTCATTTATTTTAACAGTGAGTAGATCTGATCAAAAGAAATGTTTTTTTTCCTTTACCATTTTCCTGGTAAAATTAAAGTAACAAAGTTATAGCCCTTTGGAAGTTTGAGTACCGCCCTGTCTCAATAATGATATTATGTTCTCGTGTTTGGCAACAACAGATATAATCCGCCTTATCCGTTCATCGCATCGGAAACAAAAAAGCGAAAGAATTTGGAACGATCTTTTTACAATTATTTTCTTCAGTTGTATACAGTCAGTATCAGTCGGTAGTCGGTAACGCGTAAGTGAATAATCGTGTCTGTTGCGAGGCTCAAATCAAAAATGGCACATGTTTACGAAAATGCTGAACTTGTGGACATGGTTCTTATTTACGGGGAGTCTTTACAAAATGCTGCCGCGGCATCACGGATCTATGGAAGACCACACGATCAAATAGAACTAGAAGAACAAATTTTAGAATTAGTAAGTGATGATCCAACAGTAAGCACCCGACAAATTTCAACTCAATTGGCGATTAGTCAGTATAAAACTTGGAAAACTCTACGTGAAAATCAGTTCTATCCGTTTCACATACAAAAAGTGCAGGCCTTACAACCGGAAGATCATGAACAAAGGGTTGACTTTTGCAATTGGCTTTTAAATAAACATCAAAATGATGACAATTTTTTAAATCAAATTTTAGTGAGTGATGAAGCCCTCTTTACTAGAAACGGAATTATTAATTCACGTAATTCTCACGTTTGGGCTATTGAAAATCCCCATGAAATAAGGGAAACCAATTTTCAACAGCGATTTGAACCAATCAACCTGTGGGCGGGAATTGTTAATGGAATTTTAGTGGGGCCTTTTGAATTACCAAATCGCTTAACTGGTGAAAATTATTTTGATTTCTTGCAACACAATTTGCCTGGTTTACTGAAAGATGTGCCTTTAAATATTAGACAAAACATGTGGTTTTTACAAGATGGGGCACCACCCCATTATGCAAGAAATGTGCGTGAATTTTTAAATAGACAATTTAATAATCGTTGGATCGGCCGTGGCGGTTTTGTACCTTGGCCGCCAAGGTCTCCGGACTTAAATCCTTTAGACTTTTGTTTGTGGGGTTGGCTAAAAACTCTAGTGTATAAAACACCGGTTAATACACGCGAAGAATTACGTGCTCGAATTGAGGAAATGAGTACAGTGATCAGAAATCAACCAGTGATTTTATTGCGTGCTTGTAAAGAGACATGGCTAAGACGCGCCCAGCTGTGCGTCGAGCAAAACGGAAATCATTTCGAACAGTTTTTGTGACATGCTTTTGGGCGCACAGGTCCGCACTGAAATACTTGTCGGGAGGATACTTTATAAAACAAGGTAACATTTTTTTTTTAATTTTTTTTTATTTTTACACACATATTTTGGTTTATCTTCCTTCTACAATCATTATCTGAAAATTAATGACTCAACTTCAAAGTCACCCTGTATATACATATATATATATATATATACTCGTATATATATACACAATGTGTTTGGTCACGACATACCGATATTTAAGGGGGGTATTTTTCAGCTATTTTTATCGACAAATCCACCCCCTTACAATGTCCTACCTCAGCCCCCTTGAAATGGCAGCCATTTTTATTTTTACGTTACGATTACGCTAGTACGTGTATCAAACATTGTAATAACTGAGAATATTAGAGTCACAGAATGATAAATTTGGTATCATTTGAACGATAACATGTTGTTCTAGCGATTATTGGAAAACTTGTATTGATACTAACCGTCAAACATTCTTAAAAACAGGAAAAAAATATGCCTGAAAATTGATTATTTTGTGCATTTCTGCATACCTTTAAAAAACTAGTTTGTGACGTTGTACTTTTTTGTGCTAAATCTACAGCTATGTTATCTACAAAATGACACCAAATTTTTTCTACGTTAAGTAATAAATACTATCTAACATGAGTCAAAGTATACATAAACAAGTCAAATCAAAGATTCTTATAAATAGTTTGGACATGTTTAATGTTACAGAAGCTGTTCAAAATGCCCTCATTATTCGATATGCACATTGTAGTTCTTAAAACAATGTGTCGTGTTGAGCAGCGGGTCATATCCGTGTCAGTTCTAATTTAGTTCGCAGCGGTGTGGATCTTTTCCACGAGCTCTTCCCGTGTCGTCGACACATGGCAGTAGACTTTTTGCTTCATTGTGTCCCAAAAAAAATAATCTAGGGGCGTTAAATCGGGTGATCCGGGTGGCCAAGCGTCTGTGCCTCCAATGTTGCCTATCCAAATGTTGCGGCGGTTGATAAGTGGCGTAGATCTGAAAACTCGATACTCAAGAAATCCAAAAATCCCTGGCCATCTAACCTTGGAGGTAGCTCAACTGGGCCGGCTGAAACTGCGTCGATCACTCGGGCCCACGTGTTTACATCAAATTCCTGTTGGAAGGTGCTCAGTCGAACTGCGTGAGCGGTTTCCCAAGACCACAAGTGGTCGTTTCTATGGTTTATGATCCCCTGCCTCGTAAATTTTGCTTCGTCCGTCCATAGAATTTTTTGTGACATTGAACTATTTATAAGAAACTTTGATTTGTCATTTTTATGTATACCTTGATTCATGTTAGATAGCATTTATTACTTAACGTAGAAGACTTAGGATAACAAATTTGGTGTCATTTTATAGAAAACATAGTTAGCTGTAGAATTAGCACAAAAAAGTACAACTTCACAAACTAGTTTTTGAATGGTGTGCGGAAAT